GGGGCAGGGTCTGCGGGCTGGGTGCTGGGAGGCTTGCAACTGGCACAAGCACCGTAGCCAGACCGTGCCCCTTTAAAGGCTCGGGGGCCAGGAGGAGGGCAGAAAAGTTTCCCTGGTTTGGCCCAGAGTGGCCACCAGGGCACACTGGGAAGGGCAAGCCTCCAACTAGTTCAAATTAAGTGGCTATACAGCCCTTAATTCGAACTTCTTAATTCGAACTAGGCCTTAGTCCTCGTAGAATGAGGTTTACCTAGTTCGAATTAAGCGCTCCGCTAGTTCGAATTAAGTTCGAACTAGCAGTTTATATGTGTAGTGCCTATGAAAGTTAATTCGAACTAACGGCTGTTAGTTCAAATTAACTTTGTAGTGTAGACATACCCTAAGATGCCAAAGGACTCCTCATTGTTTTTGCAGATAGACTAACAAGACTCCCCACCCAGACTTTTCTGTATTCTTGCAGACAGGAATCAATATATTGCAGAGGGATCTGTGACAGCACATTCATTCGTAGTTCTGTGAAATGAGCTAGAAGATTGGGATTTAACTGACAAATAGCTACCGTTGGCACAGCCTCAGACTTTGCAGATTTGGTGGATGGCTTTAAGAAGTGTGATCTCCCAAACATTTTTTACAGCCCAGACCCCCCCCCCTTTTTGAAATGCTGCTCTATTTCTGCTAAAATACTGCACAGCAACACAATGTGCCTCATGACATGACACAGCGTTCCACAGCTGCCTAGCAGAGGGTGGCGTTCGATACTCTGTAGTATTGCATGGCTGTGACATATGAAGCAATGCCATGGCACACCTACACAGCATACATGACAGCCTCTTTGCTCTCTGTATCATCCAGCACCTTGCTATGCTGCATGGCCGGGTAAACTGTGTCCTAACAATTTGGTGCCTCATAACGCTGCTTAGGTGGACAATATGTGGTACCATGCCAGGCACAGCAGCTTCACATCAAATACCATGCAATATTCCTCTGTTGCACAGTACAGAACACAAGACAATATTGCACTATTTCACAATACAAGGTAACCTTGCACAGTGCTATACCGAGCTCAATAATACACCTTTATGACTCCAGTCTTCCTGGTGGTGATTTCTGCACCTGCCATTGGTTGGTTGCGTGTAATAGGGGATGGCTGAACAAACTCCCCATCTCTTTATTGGCTTCTTCAGCTGTCAAAAAAGAAAAAAAAAGTCCAGCCCTTATTCTTTATGTTTGTCTGTATCTGCAAGGACCCTCCCCTCTACAATCCCTATTGGATGAACAGCCTCTGATATGTGCCTGAACAACACCAGGATAGGTTACCCAGGGATACCAGGAAGCTGATGTGTTTCCTCCCCCTTGCTCCAGCTCAACCAGGAAGTAAAGTTTCTATTTTCTGAGGCTCAGAAGTTTAGTCCCAGGCAAAGTAGAGGGGAAGGTGTTGACGAGGCATCCGAGAAGAGGGGATCAGAATCACAGGTAAGGCTGGGAAAATGTCCAGCGAGAGTTAAATTCTTGGGCACTAACATTACAGAGAGGGGCAATGACTTGTAAATTTCACGGTGTTCTCGTTTAATGTATACATTTTTAATAATCCAATTTTTATTTTTTCCTACCAGAATTTAAGTTTTCCTCCTGGCAGAGGTTGTGGGAAATGAGGGTAGAAAGCCCTGTGTCTCTTCCCTGGATCCCCAACGTGGAGAGGGGCTGCTGGAAACATTTCTGCCGTTGTCTCTCTTAAGTTCAAGTGCCTGAGCCCAGTTCATTTTCTATAGCTCCTTAAGTTACCTTGCCCAGCAAGTCAGGCCACATGGTCTCAGTGGTGGGAAGCAAAAGACCCTTCTGTGTGAAAGAGAGAGTGTATGTGTTGCAGGGGGGATGCATTCCCTTTTGGCCCTAGAAACAGTAGAGATGAGAACTGGGATTTTGGGGTGCTGGCAAGATTAGACCATGGTGAGCAGCCCCAGACTGCCTCCATTTCCCCTTCTGCAGGGGATTATTCTCTAAATTTATCCCCTCCCAAAAAGGATGGGGGGCTCTGGCAACAGCCATAACAGCCTAGATCTGTGAAGCCGGGAATAGTGAAAACCTGTCTCCATATGAGAATAGTGATAGAAATGTAGCCATGTTAGTCTGGGGTAGCTGAAGCAAAATGCATTTTGTCTCCATATGAGTTGCTCTGAGCATCTGCCTGTTCTAAATGCTGTGCAGCCACCAGGACATCCGTGGAGTGTAGGAAGGCAAGCCCCCAGTCTAGGTGGGACAGATCTTGTCTGCTTGCCACATTTCCTGTTCCCTGCATGGAGATTTTGTTCCTGCTTCATCTGGGAAGGTCCGGCCTTTAGAACACACCGTACCAGCGCAGTGCAGCCACTCCTGTGCTGTGCATGCTGTCCAGCAGCGCTGGACTAAGAATAGTTGCTTTGCAAAGAGAGAGGGCTACCCTGCCTCTACTGGCATTCCAGCCTTTGATTCCCTGTAGTGTAGTGCCTGAGAGCCTCCCCATTTTGTGTGGTTACCCTTGCTAGCGCCTGCTGGTGGGAGAGGATGACGACCCTGATTCACAGAGGGCGGCGCGCCGACGTGGGCAAGAACGGCGACAAGAGGCCAGAGGGCGAGGAGGACTCGAAAGACAGGAACCCGGAGGAGGAGGAGGACTCCGGGGACTCCAAAGACATCCGCCTCACCCTTATGGAGGAGGTGCTGCTCTTGGGACTGAAGGATAAGGAGGTAAGGGGGGGTTCGGCGGTGGCATTACATGGTGAGGCGTGGCTGGCAGCCATGGCTCTGCCTTTGCTTGCAGGGAGGCGCTGCCAGGAGCAATTCCTGCCCCCTTCTCTGGGGATCCAGAGGCCCCTCTTTTGGCAGAGCCAGTGCAGTCCCTCTGTGCAGAGGGGCACATCAGCACCCTTGCAGTGGCTTCAAGCCTGGCGCCTGGCAGCATGAGGACCAGGCTGGTGGATCGTGCCCTCCTGCCCCGGACCCGGGCTAGATTGTCCTCCAAGGGGCAAGGCTGTAGGGCCTGGCAGGGGGAGGAACTTGTGGCACTTCGGCATCTCGATTGGGTCTTTGCCTGCTTCTTGCCAGTCCCTGTGCGTAGACTCACGTGGTGTGGCTGAAGGCTGCTAAGAGCCTCTCAGCATGTTTTGGCCAAGGCACTTGTGACCGGGTCCAAGAAAACCTGCAAGACACCTGTGAGCCTCTTGAAGGGAGCTGGGCGGTGCTCCCAAGACTGGGGGCAGATTCATCCTGGGGCCGAGGAGAGACAATTTGCACCTTCCCTATTCAGTGGCTGGTGCAGCCTCCAGTGAAGGCTGGGGCTGCCCTGAGTGGCACAGAGATTTTCCAGCTTACCAGTCCGTAGCCAGGTCTCCTCCTTTGTCGGGTGTGTCTATGCCCAGCAAGACAACCTACCCTGGGCTGTTGCAGAGGCACATCTAGCTGGACAGCTGTTCTCTGTGGGTTGTTGATACTGGCTTTGCAGACCCTCTGGGCCAACCTCCTTTATACAAGGAGGCCCTTAGACCTATGAACGCCCAGCTTCCCCAATGGTCTCTGGAAAGTGACTTCTTTGACCCAGTGCACAAGAATTCTTCTTTCCACCTGCACTATAATGTCAGGAAAGCGCCTCATGCCAGGCCAGATCACTGAACATTCCATAGTGCTTATAAAGAACAGACACGCTCATCCGCTGTGACAGAAAACTGAAACTTTACTGTAAATGAAAATCTGGACATATGTACAGTGCAGGATTGTTTTAGGCTGGGGGGAATTGCTTTTTTGACAGGCAAGGCCCCTTCTATATGTGACACTAACAAAGTTTGGCTCTGATGGAAGAAAGGGGCTGCAAGTTCTGGCCCTATAACAGGATTCAAATATCCATATAACCTGCAGAAAATAAATGTTTTTATTATCTAATTGAGAAGCCCTTCTGGGGTGGAACTCGGCAGTTGTTTAGCAGCACATACTCAGAGTGGGTTTGTGTTCAGCATACAAGGGAAGAAAAAAATACATCTACTTTGACACTGCAATGGAGAGGTGCTGTTTCTTTTTTTTGGAATTGGGTAGCTCTGTCTTTTCCTTCTGACATTTTGTCTGTAATCTTTGCAATATCAGAGGCTAAGTCTACATTGCACAGTTATTTCGGAATAAGCTATTCCGGAATGGTTATTCTGAAAGAGCTTACTTCGAAATAGCGCGTCTACACTGCAAAGAAGCCTCCAAATTAGTCCAAGGCAGGCTTCCCTAATGCAGATGTTCTATCTCGATTTAGAACCCCAGGAGGAATAACTTAGCATGGCCCTGGTGAGGGGCTATTTCAAAATAGCAGCAGTGGAGCGTCTTATACATGCCTTATTTTGAAATCGCTATTTCAGAATAGGTGGTATTCTTCATAGAATGAGGATTCTTACAGAAGTAGGAATAAGCCATCTGTTATTTCGAAATAATTGAATTGCTATGTGGACACTGGCATCGTTATTTTGGCATAACGGTTGTTATTCCAAAATAACTTTTCTGTGTAGGTGCACCCATATAGTCCCAAAGGAAATTCAGTCTTGGGGTGGGACTCTGGAGCTACATAAGCTCTCTCTCTGCCACAGATTCTGTATGACCTTGAGCAAATCACTTAATCTCTCTGTGCCACAGTTTCCTGTCTGTAAAATAAGGATAATAGCATTTTTTTCCACACTTTTCCTATCTTGTCTTTTAGTTCACCGGGGCTCTGACCTCAAACTACTATCACAATACAAATAGTGAAATATTGTTGCTTATAAGCTTTTCTGGAGCAGGGACAGTCTGTCACTGGGAAGCTGTACAGTACCAACACAATAAGGCCTCTTGGTGCTGTTGTAATATGAGCAAGTCCCTACTTAATTTGCAATATTATGGATCCTGTAATATTAGGCTGCCATAGCGGTTTTGATTTTAATGTGCTTAGTTTAATGTGCAAACTAAGTGCATTAAAATCAAATGCCACAATTTTGCATACATTTTGAGGTTTGCAGTGCACATGTTTTTCCCCCATTAGTACAGTAGAACTCCATGTATCCAAGCTTATGGTAGATGGGGCTTATTAATGACTTTAATATGCAAAATGTCTAGTTACCAAAAAAAATATAGCAGGCATTACATAATACTTGAGGGTTCCAGCATACTTTTCTTAAACAAATAGGTCTTCTCTGGCTTTTTCAAATTGCCTCAATTAATATAGGTACTTTTCCCTGATCTTCCACGTCTTCTCCCAACTCAGCTGCAATTATTTGACAATCATCCCATGATTCGAGTAGGGCCTTAACTAAATCATGATGAGGAAAGCCAGCAGCTAGTCATCTTCTCCCCTGTAAAAGCTATTGGTTAGGGTGACTCCTTAACCTGGATCTGTAGTGATTATCACATGATGTATTCAGTACTTCAGTTTCTGTTCTTCTCACCGAAGCAACAAATCTCTCCTGTCTGAAAGTGTCCTGCTGTCACTTACAATAATTCGACTGGACCCTTTTTGTTCTGCACAGCCAGGAGGCTGCTGGCTGTGGAATGGAACGGTACCCTGTCTCTGCAAAGAATGCTTTGGAAATTCCCGCAGCAAGGCTGTCTGTGTTTGTGGCTGCTAACGTGGTAACCAGATAGCTGAGACTGTATACACAGTGGCAGGGGTTGAACTGTGGTTGCCCTTAATTTACAAAGTTTGCAAAGGGGTTATGGCAAGAAACTGGGCCTCAGGACTCCTGGGTTCTGTTTCAAGCTCTGCCAATCAAAATCAGGCCCCTGCTCTGGTTGGTGTTATACAAAGACAGTCCATGCTCTAGAAACTAGGCCTTATCTGCCATGCTAGGGATGTAAAAGTGTAGCCATGTAAACAGATTACCCAAACTGCTACATAGCTACACATGGCTCCCAGTCACCTCCCAGGGAGCTGCCTGCCAGGGAGCCACCTCTGTTGTATCAGAGGCAACAGCACTGGGTGGCAAGTGGGAGCTAGTACATGTCGGTTAAGCGTGCTTCCGCCTCTGTTGTATCTATGTATCAGAGACAGCAGTGCAGGGCAGCAGCCAACTCCCCAGGAGACGGGCGGCTGGAGGGAGTTGGTGTGCGCCAGGAGCTGGCTGCTGCCTGCTGAAATTTTCAGCGGTTCCACGGTTAATCAATTACACACATTTTAACATCCCTCGCCTGTGCTTGTGCTTAAATTTGCTGATTATGGCACATGGGAGGCACTGATGGGGGGAAGGGGCTGCCTGAGGGTCCTAATCTCCCACCCTTTTTTCCCAAAGCATTCTCCAGCCTTGGCGCACGCACAGCAGTGGCTTTCCAAGTACGGGTCATGCCCCAGGACTGGGTAGTAGAATGTCAGGCAGTGAGTCGTTTTGCTATAGGGGGATCAGGTGACTAGTGCGGGTGCTAAGGCAGCTCCCTGCCTGTCCTGGAACCGCGGACCACACTGCACTCCAGAAGTGCTCAGCATAGGGTCCAGCTCCTAGGTGGGGGGCCACAGGGCTCCATGCACTGTCCTCCCCTAAGCACCATCTCCACAGTCCCATTGGCTGATTCCTGGCCAATGGGAATTGGGAAGGACACGCGCGCCATTTCGGGAGAGCAGGAGAGGCAGCAGCTGTGTGCACCGGGATGTGGCTTGCTTTCTTTCCCATTCCCCCGACAATAAGGGAGTGAGAAGAAATACTCGGATTCCATGAATTACTCCTCTGCCCCCACCCTTCACCCGCCAGGAGTGAGAGGCCTGCACGGAATCCAAGTACTTTCCCCTCGCTCCCTTATTGTCAGGGGAACGGGAGGAAAAGCAAGTGCCATCCCGGTATGCACAGCTGCTGCCATCCTACCCTCCCAAAACAGCGCCCTTGGGAGGACAGTGCCTGTGTATGACAGCCGCACACAGAGCCACTTGCGCACCTCTGCCTAGGACTCCGACCCTAGGACTGGCCTCTTCTGGGGCACAGCGTGGTCTGCGGGGCCAGGACTGGTGTGGGAAGCCAGCCTGAGAATCCCTCTTGCTGTGCTGACTGAGTCGCTGGAAGGAAGCCTGTGCCCAACCTGGCACCCCAATCCCCTGTTCTAGCCTGGAGCCCCCTCCTGTACCACAAACCCCTCTTTCCCAGCCCCACCCCGCAGCCCACGCTCGAGCCAGAAGCTATATGATGTCGAGTCACAGGCATCAACAGTTTTCTTCAACTGGGTCGTGAGAAACAGAGTTTGAAACCTGCTGGCTCACAGAATCCGCGCCTCTGATCCTTTGTGTCCCAAGCAACCCTATCGTGTCTTCTCGTTCCTATCAAGCTGCATCTGCAAACTAGCTAGGTTTTCGTGTGTCCTCACCCGCCCCACTCCTACTGAACCTCCTCCTGGCTACAAACCTGCTACATTTATTCTTGCCCGTTGGATTCCCGTTTGTCCTTGTGCCAACATTGTCCCTGCATAGCTCTTCCCTCACCCTGCACTCACTGAGCAGAGCAGCCATGGGTTCCTCTGCTGACCACGGGTCTTTCTTCTCGCATGACTGGAGGGCAGCTATTGGCGGCTGCATTTCAGGCGGGTTGTTCTGCCGGCCTGTGTGTTGGTCTTCAGGCTGCCATCGCTGAGAACTTCCATTGGCCCCCCAAGAGGTGACTGCTGCTGATTTTAGCAGCTCTGCGGTCAACAAGATAAATGCGACATGGACAACTAGCTGCCCTGCCTGTGTGTCTTGCTCCTGATGTGGAAGGGAGTCTGGGATTCAG